ATTCTCTGTCTTTTCTCTGCCAGCTGGACAGAGAGTGGTTCACCCTGCTTTTCTTCTGGCCAGAAATAAAAGCTGTATTTGCTTTGGAAAAACCTCTGTCTGGAGTCTCATTGGAAATTATAGAATCCAGGCTAGCGGATCTTCCAAGTGCATTTGTGATTGTCCAAAGCCGCATGTAGCTTTCTGTGATTATAACAAAAGTAGTAACGTTTACAGATAATTTCTTTAGCCTCAATTTTAGCCCGCCTTTCTCCTTTAGTTCCATAGCAAAATCTGTGAGATTGGTCAGCCTAGAGCAGCGTTTCTCAAACTTGCCAACTTTAAGACCGGTGGACTGGGGAATTCTGGGAGTTGAAGTCCACCCATCTTAAAGTTGCCAAGTTTGAGAAACGCTGGCCTAGAGGATCCCAAATCACAAAGATTTCTGCCCAAGCAGGAATCGATTCATATTCTTACATCTTTATTAAATCTAATTTATAAAGTGTTACGCTATAAACTATAAAGTAGTTATGCTAATCAATACAGCACACTTTACACTATATTGTATAAAAATTAATATCTGTTTGGGTTTTGTGAAGTTTAAGAAGTAGTGGTGTTCATGGAACAAAAGGATATATTAAGCCAGTGGCTTGTAAGCTTCCTTTCTCCATGAGACGCTTCCTTGATCACTAGGAAATTCTAAAAACACTTGCAAAACTTTTGCAGAATGATTTTGAGATAAAAATTCAGAAGTGTCTTTTCAACTTTGTTGTTGTGCCGTATAAACTGAATATATACGCTTCATCATATGATTGTGGTTGTATTTAAAATCAGCAGTAGTGATCTTTGGTAGATACGTAATCATTCAGGGAAGCTTTCCTTAAACACAATTTTAAAAGTTCTAGCTCAGTACATTCCACTGTTTTTCAGGTGTCTCCAAATCAGAATCCCCTCCAATTAACTTGGAAATCTGTAGTTGCATATTAATTATAACTGCACTGACGTGAACATATTTGCAGAGTACAGGGAGTCCTTGCTTAATGACCACAATAGGGACCAGAAAATTCATTGTTAAGCAGGGCAGTTGTTAAGTGAGTCGCACCCCATTTTATGGCCTGTTTTGCAGTGGTCATTAAGCAAATCATCATTGCTGTTAAGCGAATCACATGGTCATTAAGCAAATCACATGGTTCTCCATTGATTTTGCTTGCCGGAAGCCGGTTGGGAAGGTTGCAAATGACGATCATGTGACCCCAGGACACTGCAACCGTCGTTGAGTGCCAACTGGTTGCCAAGCACCTGGAATATGATCACTTGACCATGGGGGTGCTGCAATGGTTGTAAATGTGAGGACCAGTTATAAATCCCTTTGTTCAGCACCATTGTAACTTTGAGTGGTCACTAAACAAATAATTACGTGAGGACTACCTGTATTTCTGATACAGTTCAGGCAGATGAAATGGACACATAGCAAAAGCACTTTCATGTGGGAGTAGTTTTATAGATTACACAAGGACAGTTGACAAAAGACATTTTGATGGGGTTAACACGCACATTTAAAAAAAAATCCAGATTTTTAAATACGTAATTGCCATAGAATCTGAACAGCATTTTGTCTTGCCACCAGCTTGCCTCGCAAAATGACTCAAAGCCAGGAATTTATATGGATTATCTTGATGTAGGTCCAAAGTACAGTACAAACGATCTGGGAGGTACAAGCTGAGAGAGAGAGAGAGAGAGAAGAAAAGAGTAAAGGAGACTTTCTCTAATGTTTTTAAAAAAT